AAATATTGTTCAGCTTTTTGAGCTTCGATCACAACTAATTTGCACCTGATAGTCGACAAATATTTGTAAGCTTTCGAAAGTATTGGATAACCATATGCGTGAAGGTTGACACGGTCCAAGTGTACGTGGATCAAGTACCCTTGGACGCTGTGCGCGCATCACTTGGACGATACTGGGATGGTACCAACTGTTAATCCAAGTAAGTAAGCGTGCTTCCAACTTGATCCAAGTTCTCATCCAAGTACACTTCGACCGAGCACTTGGACCGTGTCAAACTGGTTCTAAGATTGAATTTGATTGATAGCCTGTAACTACAATAAATACAGTTTTTGCAAGACTTGCAAACTGTTGCATTGGTAATCTGCTCTATAATCTTTACTAGAACGAATACACCAGGAGAGCGCAAGGCACGAGCAAGATGGTGCTTGTCAGGCGGAAGGCTCTCGGCACAAGAATAGCATGACGATTAGAATACAACCCTAACCTAATTCACAGAGCGCGGTAAAAGTCTCAGAATTTAATATAAAACTTTAATGGAAACTCGAAATTCTTATTAATATGAGAGCACTAAATTAATAAGTAATCAATATTCCGAATTTATTAAAAAATATTTTTAAACCTTAATTTGATATTATTTATATTTTATAACTAAACAATGCCGACGGGGCGCTAAATCTTAAGGGCGCGGCGGGCTCCGCCCGCCAGTCCGTCACTGGTTCTAAGAAATAATTTTAGCTTGTATTTAAAAGCTAGTGTGGACGGAGTATGAAGAAATTTTACGATTTTTGAATAAATTGTGGGAGCTATGAACTGAAAACATCTTTGACCTATAGTTTTTGAGACTTTGGGCCTAGGGACGTACAGGGTCGGATTAAGGTCTTTTGGGACCCGGGGCTATTTTCACAAAAGGGGCCCCTAGGTCCCTGAAATAAATTCAAACGTCACTCAAAACTTTACCTTGCAGTTTAAAAAATGTAAATTTTCTATTTACTTACAGAACAAACAATACAAGACAGAAGAGGTGGTAATCAAAAATATTTATTCTTAAATTCTTACATATTACATTTTTTTTTTCGACATTTTGACACAGCAAATTCGTCAATTAAATCTGAAAAGTCTATTGTTCTCATTAATTCGTTTTCGACAAAAACAATTTGTTTTTATCATTTAATCCTATGGAGTTTTATGCAATTTTGTTTTGACAAAACATGGCGGGTGGGCCCTATCAAGGTTCCTTTTGTCGCCACTGTCTTGTATGAAGTCACTGTAGCTTTTATGCGGATAGTGTGCCATCTATATCAATAATTATACCTGGGGATGCAACGATACTATCGATACTTTGAAAGTATCGATACATTCTCAAAATATCGAGTACTTTTTATACTCGATACTTTTTTTCTCAAATCAAGTAGGTATCGATACTATTTGTCTAATATCGATACTTGAGGAAATCCAAGGTGATTATGATTTTTGGAGCTTTCATCAGAGCTTGGCTCTTAATAAACAGAAAAAAAAAAGATTCACAGACAATTAGCTCTATCGATGAGTTGTCATTATATCTAGCCAATCCAGTTACTCCACTGAAAATTTGGATGGATATGAAAAACATGTACCTACCCAAAATTATATACGATCGCTATGAAATATTCATGTAGCAACTAGCGTTCCATCAGCATCAGAACGCCTATTTTCTCATGTCGGTGCCACTGTAACCCAAGCTAAGAATAGACTTTAGGCAAACGTTTGGAGAAACTACTATTCCTCGGGTCGATTCCAGAAGAAGATTGGTTTTATGTTTATTTTTTTCTTAAATCTTATTTATTTTGAAATCAGATAGATATTATCTTGATATATTTTGGTAATACGTCTATAACATCTCTATATGTACCTGTATTTTATTGTACATATTAATAAACATCAACTGAAATTATTGAATTATTGCAAAAGTAATCGATACCCAAGAGTAACGATACTTTTAAGTACAATATCGAGTAGTATCGATACTAAAACAAAAAATACTCGTGAGTGCGTAGTATCGATACTTTCCTAGTATCGTTGCATTCCTAATTATACCAGCTACTCAATAATAATATCATAGGGTAGTGTTTTATTTGATATAATTGATAGATAAAAGATGGCGAAATCGAAATTGCAAAATTATATGCATGATTTCATTCCCGTGTGAGGTGATGTTTTAGGACCCCCTTTATTTCGGGGCCCGGGGCTTTAGCCCCCAAAGCCCCCCCCTTAATCCAGCCCTGGGGACGTAGCGAAGGCCTCTGGTTTGGGGGGGGTTGACATTCCTAATTTTCCCAACTTTATTAAAACATAAAAAAAAATCATATGTAGCATCGTACACGTGTTAAGAAGTGAAACTTCTTAAAAACTATTCCCTCCCTCATACGTCTTTTAGACTTAACGCCTTAGTCGGGGTATAAAGACGAAAGGCTACACAAAAGACAAACGCGCATCTGTAGTGACGTCACAAGGATATCGCGCTTGACAATAATAGGCAATCTCCTTCGCTTATAATCTTTGATTTGTGTCAATCGTTCGTCGGCTGTCATTGTCATTGGCTGTCTTTCTCCGTCTCTCTACGTGCCGAAATTTCGCAAAACGTCTCGTTACGTGTAACGTGACGCGTCTTTCAAATTACTTTTCCTTCTCGTCCAAATCAGACCGCCGCCTTAGAAGTTTCACTTCAAAAAAATCATGTGTAGTATCGTACACGTGTTAAGAAGTGAAACTTTTTAAAAAGTATATCCTCCCTCATACAGCTTTTAGACTTAGCGTATGAGCCGGAGTGAAGGCGAAGTGCCATACAAAAGGGAGTCGCGTATCTTTAGTGACGTCACAAGGGTACTGGCGATTAACAATAATAGACTCTTTGCTTATAATCCTTGGTTTGTGTCAATCGTTTCTCGTCTGTCATTGTCATTGGCTCGCTTTCTCCATCTCTCTACAGCCTACGTTATATCTTCCTTCTCTCTCGTCTCATCAAATTTGCCAAAACGTGACGTTACGTGATGCGTCTTTCAAATCACTCTCCATATTCTAGTCTAAATATCAGACCGTCGCCTAAGAAATTTCACTTCAAAAACTGATAAAAAGTTTGACATTGCATTGCAACCGGTCGCAAGTTGCTTTTTTAGAATAGAAAACTCGCGTTTGACAGCGACAATTTCGTAATTACTGCGGTCGCAAGTTACAGAATAAGCTGGTTGTGCATTAGTCCAGTTTGCAGGTGAATTCCTAAAAATAGCATCTAATCCACCTGCAAGCTAATGCACGGACTACGTAAATCTACCTGTATATTCCAGAATTTCCAGACCTACAAATAATATAATCAAATATAAAAAACGTGTATGAGAAAAATGAAAAATGTTTCAAAAAACCAAAAACTATTTCTTAAACTCAAGAGCAAAGAATTCAGAGTTTTGCTGAAATCTGAATAGCGAGCGAAGAATGCGCAGAACGCAGAAGGCAACATAATATGAAAAGTCTGGATTATCTAATATACGATATTGTCTATCACTTTCAAACACAACGCGCTTGCAACAACAAACTATAGATATAACTACGTCGGTCGTCGGTCTTGACTCTGGAATAGTGCTAGTGGTGCTAGTGCCACTAATGCCACGTGCCACTGCCACAGGCTAGTGGTGCTAGTGCAGTGCAAAGTGCAACGCAAGAGATCGCCGCAACCATTGGGATTTCGTCATCCTGTTGTCCGGTGATTTTGCAATTCATTACAACACGCGACACGATCCTAATGTTAATTTTAATTAGTCCTGGGAAATGAGGTGCGCAAATTTTTATCTACCAATTTTTCCCAACTTTAAATTTTTTATCCAAGTTTTCCCAACTCTCGATATATTTCAGGAACTTTGGGGACTGCAATAAGATATCACTTGTCGTACATAAACTGGGAAATTATGTATAGGTTAACAAATGTAGACTATATAAGACGTGTGAGTTGTTTATCAATACTCTCACTAGAATACTAGACGCATGGCAGTTGCTGCTTTGAAGTCAATTACTGTGGTGGAACGAAAGGATGAAGAATGCTGTGAGAAAAAGAGATGAAAATTACAAGCATTTTAAAGATCAGAGAACTGAAGAAAGTAACAGGGTCCATAAACATGATAGGAAGGCGGTAGAGAAGCAAAAAGTCTAGTTTGTGAGAACAAGGCTGATCAGTGTATAATGATCATGAAAGTATGTGGGCAACATTAAGGTTTTTCCTGAACATGGGAACTCGAGAAAAATTCATAAAAAAGACTTTAATGGTGAATTACTGAACATCAATCTGGGTTCCAAAAAGAACACAGTTGTGGAACGGCAGTCCAGTTTGTTTATTCTGGATGAATGGAAAATTAGTTTTGACAGCAACGAAAGTATATTCGCAGTATTTTTAGATCTCCAACGAGCTTTAGAGACAATAGATAGACTAGATAGAGGCAAACTACTTAACAAACTTGAAAAGATGCTATGCTGGAAGAGTACTGAAGTAATTTCGTTTTCGTAGTTATTTAACAAGCAGAAGACAACTTGTAAGATTGAATGGAAAAATATCCGGGCAAATTTCCAATGCGTTAGGAGTTCCGCAAGAGAGTGTGTTAGGCCGTTAGGCCTTCTTTTGTTTGTACTTTACATAAAAGATATAGTGTAGTTAATGATCAAGATGATTTGGGGCTACCTACAACTTTTCGCTGCTGATACCTTGGTTTATGGATTCTCTCAAAACATTGAACTTTTGGTTATCAAAATAAATAGTGCTCTATGGAAAATTGATCTGTATTGCAGGAGAAATCTTCTTAAGGTTAACAAGAGTAAAACAAAGTATATTGTTTTCGCAAACAGTTATTTTTGGTAAACCAACATAACATCGTAATGGGTAACGAGACTTTAGATACCTATATCATTGAACAGATACCTAATAATAATTAAAAGTACGTTTATGTATCATCCACAGTCTACTAATGTGAAGGTAAACTTACTCTTATTAGCAGCATCAACTTCTTTAAGGCTTTTGTCCGAATCTTCGCTATCTAATAAACGTTGCGGCAAATCGATACGATTACTGAATCCGTAATGAGCCACCTTAAAAAAAAAACACTTAATATCAACATATAATCAACAAAATAAATTCTCACCCTAAGATGTACCATCAAACTCCCTCTCATCCTGAACCTTTTGCTGCACAAGTGACAGTGGTAGCTGTATTTTCCAGTTTTCTCGTCCGGAGACGTTTGGTGCAACAACTTTTGATGCATTTCTAAAATATTTTTATCCGTAAAAGTGAAGCTGCATATGTCGCAAGAGATTATATTGTCATTATCTAAATTGGACGGTGATGGATCTTTCGGGGCCGGATCTTCCGGTTGTTTGGCGATATCGATAGTAACTGGGTCTTGAACCTAAATTATAATGTTAATCTGAGTTGGATTTTTGTTACTTATTTAGTATTATATTATACTGTCTTGTAAATACGAGATATTCAGGTTTTATTGTAATAATAATAGCTCAATATTTTACTTTGTTTCTTGTGAATTTATATTGAGTTTTTCTGGATTTGGTTTGATACTATAATGAGCTATTTCCTAACTAGCATATAAAACAATAGGTATGAATGTTTTAGGGAGTTGCACTCTATCACATCGAGGTTTATCAAATTTGAAGTAAACTGAAGCAAATGGGGTAAAGTGTGCTACTTCCTGCAACAGCAAACAAAATCAAATTTTCATCCTTACCGTCCTCGTACAAATCCTAACAATTTCTTCATCAATACTTTCATCGCAATCTTTCTCATTATCAACACAAACAGTCCTACTTTTAACACTATCTTCTTTTATCTGCTGACTATTCACGTGACCGAATAAATGAATAGTCAATTTGTCCAAACCTTTCAATACCTCCTGACACACTGGACAAGTCAATGGGGCCGTGGCGACGCTCACTAAACTGCTCCGTAACGAATCTACCCCTGGAAAATGGGGCTTGCAGCACAAGGGGCACGATAGCAACATTTTCTTGTTGTTGTTGTTAGCGAGACGAAAATTTGCTTTATATTTTAATTTTCCTTGAGTTAAAAATAGCCGAAACGGGGACCCGTGCCGCTCTATTTTTAGCACGAGAGGCTCGGGATTTTGGATTGTGGCGCTTTTGGCAAGGAATTGGAAATGTGTTTGGATTTCAAATTATATTGTGTCTGTAATAAAATGACTACACTTTTTCCATATGTATTTTAGAGACCGCCGGTTTAATTCAATTGTATGTGAAATACAAGTGACCAAACTGAAATACAAATGACGTTTTCTAAAATATAACTGACCAAACTGAGACACAAATGACTTTCTTTGAACTACAACTGACAAAGTTGAAATACAAATAACAATTGTAAAATGCTTTAACTGTGGCCTGTTTAGTCACTTCAAGAGTCAGTGTACCAAAGAAAATGATAACACTGACAAAAACAAAGATGAAAAGAATAAAGATGATCCTAAAGACACCAATAAAAAAAAAAAGTCGCGTGCAGCACAGTACACGTGATAGAAGTCAATACTTATTTATTCTCTCTCTCTCCCTCATAATCATCATATGCTTCATCTCACTTGCGAGACGAAAAATTTATAAATCGTGTCGTGACGCGACCTTGAAAAATCACTCTCATGCGGCCAAAGAAGTATTCACTTTAAAAATAAGCAAGAAAAAGCACTACATTATAGTTACTGTCTTAGCACCAGCTAAATTGGTAAATACATCCAGTTGGTATGTTGACTCAGGGGCAACTTCGCACCTATCATAATGAAGATTGTCTTCAAGATTTCATTACCAAAGGTGACAGTGAGATTTTGGTAGCAAATAACCAAAAACTGAGAACCTAGTATTGGTGTTGGGAATAACACAGTTTTTACGAAAAATGGTTCTAGGGTAATTTCTAACATTATGTGTGTTTCAGATTTAAAAGCCAATTTGCTATTGGTGAGTAAGATGGTAGAAACAGGTCATGCAGTAACATTTGACAATAAAGGCTACCAGATATATGACAGTGAAAATTTTCAAGTTAAATGAAATATTGTAGCTACTGTATCCAACAAAAATGGGCTTTATCAGCTGGATTTAGTCAATCAATGCACATTTGACTAAAACTGCAAGCATGAAAGAATTCTGGCACTGAAGGCTGGGACACTTGAATAGAATAAGTATGTCTTTGCTCAGACGAGGTTTAGTGACTGGTATTGATGATTATAAGGATGAAAAAGGTGATCAATGTATCATTTGTCTTACAGGAAGGCAAAGTCGTCAGCCTTTTAAATGAAAGGTGGTGAGCGTGCCAAAGACTTACTGGAGCTGGTCCATACTGATTTGTGTGGTCCAATGCCAGTTTCATCATGGAGTGGAGTAAGATATGTTCACTTTAATTGATGATTACTAGAGGAAATTTTTGTCTACTTTTTAAAGTCAAAAAGTGAAGTTCTTACGGTATTTAAAGACTTGTATTGGTAGAAAACCAAAGTGGAAGCAAGTTAAAGAAACTCAGAAGCGATAATGACACCGGAGTATGTCAATGGGTACTTCTTTTGAAAATTATCTAAAATCAAAAGAACATCAATTAATCGTAAGATATATATACGCCTGCGCAAAATGCAGCTGTTTGATTGAAAAATTGCTCTCCTCACAAAAGTGTTCAAGCTTCAACTCCAGAATAAAAAAAGACAGGTGAGAAAGTAGATTTAAAACACCTCAGAGTTTTAGGGTGTATTGCGCATGCTCACATTCCTGATCATTTGCGAAAGAAATTTGATTCTAAGAGCAAACAATATATCTTTGTTGGCTACTGTGAACAAACTAAAGAATATAGACTCTTTGATATCCAGAAATTAGGTCATATAATAAAATCTAGAGATGTGGTGTTTTTTGAAAAATACTTATAAACGAAACACTACAGTACCTATCTTCTGATAGCAGCAAATAATTCAAGTTGAGTCTAAACTAGAAATACAGTGCACGAGTACACGAATAATGCATTCGGACAAATTTCCCAAAAATTATCGATAATTTCTATTGCACTCGTTATATTACTACATATTGATAATTCAATATGGCGTTCCCGTGATTGCATTGACAAGGCTATGGAAGCGGATTCTGGGAACAGTATAATTAAGGATCTAAGGCTGATAATAACTGAACTCAAATCTGAAATTCAGCATAAGGATAACCATATTTTAAGGCTAAAGCGTAGTTCAATTACTTTTTATGAAGAAGCCGCTAACATAGAGGCGGATATCAAACAAACGCAAGCTGAACCGGTACGGGTTTCGCGGGGTTGCCTCATATTGGTTGGAGTCCTACCTCTCAGAAAGAAGCGAAATAACAAGACATCAGCAGGTCGAGTCTGATATTGCCCCAATAAATCAATGTGTTCCACAAGGTTCGGTGCTAGGGTCCATCTTGTTTCTGCTTTATGTGAATGATATTGTCAACACTGACATGCCTGGATCATTTACACTATTCGCCGATGATACAACCCTTCTTTTGGAAGGAAAAGTCTGCAGTTATTTTGAAAGAGCAAATCTCGAATGACCTACTTAAGGTAAAGGAATGCAGTGACGCCAATAGTCTTCGCTTCAACCTATCTAAGACTAGCATACCTTACCTTCCGGTTTTCTTCTGGAAATTTAAGTGTACAGGCCTAATCTATTGCTTACAAGCCGGTTGCTAAGTTTTTAGGCATCCATATAGACAGTAAACTGAAGTTTAAGGATCATGTATTGAAAGTTAGAAGTAGGATTTCTCCTGGATGTTATACTATAAGAGTTATATCCAATAAACTTGGCACTTCTATGGCAAAGGTCGCTTTTCATGCTCTAGTAGAATCTCACTTACGCTTCGGAATAGTCTTCTGAGGGTTCTCCAGCCAATATATTTTTAACTCCGTCTTTATTCTACAAAAAAAAGCACTCAGGTATTTATGTAATGTGATAGTATAAGGGCCCACTTCAAACCTCTATTTTTGGAAAAGGAATTTTTAACTTTACCAAGTAATTTTATCTTGGAAACTGTCACTTTAATCTATAAGAAATATAGACAACACTTTAATAATGAAGTAAATCATTACTTTGGACGAAATTCCAATAATTTGCCGCTTCCCATTCCAAAAACCAGCCTAACAAAAAACTCGATAATGTACGAGATCTTGAAAATTTTCAATCACCTCCTTTAGTTTCAATATTATTTTGTTTGTTCAATTACTTTTGACGTTTGTTGTTCTCTTTTTTTGAATTTTTGTTAGTTTCAACTAAGTCAATTCCATTTTATCGTACCTATAACAGTGTCTTGTACCTTATCTTGTTGAGCGAATGGATCATTTTGTAAATTGAAGATTGTTTGATCATAATTTTTACCATTTGTGTTAGTTTTAATAATACCTCCTAATTATCATTATTTTTAAGCTTTGTTCACAAGAAAATATTTTTACATAACAATAAAGCATATTTTGATTTGATTTGATTAGATCCTTACGACGGACGCACCTAAGAATCTAGAGCAAATGCAATAAGAGTTTAAACGTAGTCAGAGATCTAGGAAAATTAAATTATTCTATGATCATATACTCTATTGTCCGTCGTTTTTAATCTGACACTTTTCGTATGAGGAACGAGGGGATGAAGCTCCAGCTCACATTCCTTTGAAGTATCAGATTAAAATCCACGGACTTTACTATGCACCGGAAGAAGTAAACGAGCCTTGTTCAGTGCAAGAAGCCTTATTAAGCTAGTGGATATGGTGATGAGTGGAAGAATGCTATGGATGAAGAAATGCAATCAATAAAGGACAATGATACATGGATTTCATTGATTTCAATGGACATTCCCAAAGACAGAAAAATTGTACAGTGTAAGTGGGTATATCCTAGAAGTCTCGTCCGTATTCTGATTTTTGATACCTCGATGGACGCCGGCTTTTGCCGGTGTGGACGCTGGCTTGAGTCTATTGCCCACTGTTGCCGAGTTGTCAGTGCTGTTGATTCAGCGTCCAGCCAGCGAGCCAGCATCCGTGTCTGCTTCTCTGAATGAAGTTATTAAAGTGAAATATTTGCTTTGCGTGCATAGGGAGACAGACGCGTGCCAAAAGGAATTAGGAAGTTAAGCATATATTTTCTAACATATTTGATAATTTACCAACGAATATCATAGATGGATGCTATTCTATCATTTTCTTTAGGTTTTTTTTTCAGTATATTTGGCAAATTTGCCACTTAGAAATTTATGTTTAATTTCGAATTATGAATTATTTATTTATTTTCCAGTAGATCGGTTTATTTACCAACAAGTAAATTTTGGGGTCGGTCAAGTTTCCGCCTGTATTAAACAAATTTCAAAAATAAATACCTAAATCATAATAATTTTGCACACTATAACTAAAATATTGCACACAACACAACGAAAACTAGAGCATTTTTTTAAACTAGGGGCAAATTTGACCGTTCCCCCTTGTTTGTCTAAAACTTGAAAAATTCCTATTCACCTAAATTTGCACAATTTCGCATGCCTATTTTCAAATTTTGCACACTTTTCTGGGGAAAGTTAAAGTATGTTTTTTTTTTAAAGATAATTCCCCAAGTCAAAAATTCAATAACTATGTTGGCAGCACAAGCCTTTTCTACATAAAAAATTTGAAAGCATTGACAATTTTACATTGCATTGCCAACTTAATGTCATTTTGACTTTAATCTTAAAAAAAAAAAACTTTTTCTACAAACGTGTCAAAAATGCAATTTTTAACACCCCCCGTAGCATTAAAAATGTTACTTTATCGCACTAGTGCCATAAAGTCTTTATAGCACTAGTGTTAAAAATGAAACATCAAATTTTGAGAGCGAACGTCAAAAATGTTTGTATTTTTAGTTATTTACATTGATATTAATGGTAAAATTGGAACAACTGAGGTAGCCCGATTGGCCGCCTCATCTATATTTTTAAAGGGATCGATGCAATCTTCTCTTTCTTCTGTATTTTGTTGCATTTCTAGCAAAAATAATTACTGACCACGACATA